CTGATTTGGGATTTAAAAACTGGTATGCAACTAAAATGTTGCATTTCAGATTTCTGAACGCAGGACTTTGCTCATAAAAAGGAATTAATAATAATCCAGTGATACTAAAATTTTCTTATTATGCTGTTATTGTATATAAAGTATTAAATACATTATTTTTCTATTAAATATTTTTGCTGACTTTGATAACCTCATGATGAGTCACATTTAATTTTCAGGGATGTACAAAGAGAAGAGCAGTTACACAATCACATTCCAGTAGACCTCAAGTACATCACAGAGCTCAGAACACTCAACCTAAAATAACAGATGACACCGAGCAATTGCAGTTGCAATTCAGTTTACGTAGACAGGATTCTTAAAATATGCATTCTATTTAAATAGGACAGGAAGCTTTTTCAAGGTGTTTAGTGCTGTAACTCCCAAGCCCTGCCACCTACATGAGAGGATATAGAAAAGTCAGAGTTCTCCAAATAAATCAAGTGTAGTAGACTCCTCTAAGGCCCCACTTCTGCAGTCCATAAAAGTCTGTAACTCCTGTGATAGGGTGTATTTGCCACATCAGCCCCTGAGAGGGTAAATTAGGCCAGGGAAGCCTAACTGACCAATTAAGTGTCCAGTAGGGGAGAGCTATAGGCTACAAGGAGGCCACTAATTAGAGGCAGTCGCAGCTGAGCTGGAACAAGAGGAGCCTGTAAAAAGCCCAGGAGCTGCAAGTAGCAAGGAGACCATAGTTGCCCCTCTGAGGGGAAGGAGAATGGGCTGGCAAACCCAAAGAGAGAGGGGAGCCAGTGATGTAGGAAGAAGACTAGGGAAACAGCAGCAAGGCCTAGCACAGTACAGGCCTTGGCTGCATGTGATGGGGTCCCTTGGCCAGAACCCAGGGCAGAGGGTGGGCTTGGGTTCCCCTGACACAGAGAGTTGGAGATGTCAGCTGGACAGCTGATCCACAAGGACTATGACTTTACCCAAAGGGGAGGAACTTAGTGACCTGGCTGGAGGGCCAAGCCACAAACAGGAAGCTGCCACTCCAAGAGGGAGAGACAGGCTCCAGAGAAGAAGGTGGGTAGAGACTGCTGAGGAGGGTGAAGCACTTGGCAGAGCTGACCCCCAGAATGGCCAGGGAGAGGCACCGTGAGCGGTGACGGAATCCCATCACACTCCCTCTGAAGCTAATGGGAGTTTTTCATGAATATTGGCTGCAGCATTAGGCCTTTAACTGGGAAGCCCTAAGACTACTGTCCCAAGGGAGAACAAAATCTGGAAACACTTAAAATTAAATAAAATATTACAGATTTTAAAAGAATGCTAAATTACTTAATTTTATATCTCTGGTTTATACTTCTGTATTAAATGACCCGGATTTAGAATGCCACACCATGTTAAACACCATTTAACCACTTGGCACAGGCTAAATTCATCTCCATTAAGTAGGATTTATACTAACAATGTTCTGATTAAGCAGCACTTTATCATCCTCTGGAATTCAGCTTAAAACATCCCTAGAAAGCAGGTGTCCTGACCAAGTGCTGTATAAGAGATTTTTCTCCTGTCTAGACAAGGACACACAATCGGAAAACTAGACTTTCTGTAAGACCTCATTTTAAATGAGTACTGGCCACTAACTGGTTCCTTTTTATCTGTACAAGAACAGAATGATGATGGAAACAAAGGAAGGCTGCCAAGCTTTATATGTACACTGCACTTTGTTACCACTAGTCCGTCTAATACAGCTCTTAAACTTTTTCCTCTCTACAAACATAATAATATGGAAAATGCAGGGAAAAAAGCAAGATGACAAGCTGTTTAAAAAAAAAGCCCATTAATTAAGAGAAAAATCTCTGGACTGGAACATTTGCGACAGAGGCAATGAGTTTAAACTGTGAGGAAGAGCAGTGTTCTTCATGTGCCTCCATGCTGAACTCAAAGAACAATTAAGCAATGATTGTGATAGGCTTTAGCAGCAATCTGACAAAGTCTTCCTTGCATAGGAAGATGGTGCTGCTGACCTGAGGGCTTGAGCAGTGGAACTGGATTGAAAAGAAAATAGGGGAAATCCTTAAAGGTGGTTTTGCAAGATGCAGAAGGATGAAAACGTAAAACCAGAATATAATATGTTAATCACAATGGGCCCTGTTCCTGGCCCCACAGAAAACCTTGATTAAACTCCCATGCACATCAATGAGATCAGGATTGGGACCATGTTATAATTTTATGTTTAATGGAAAAGGTAATGCCTATGTACTAGTCAATTCTGATAGCAACTCTGTGCCTCATCTTGCTGAGTTTTCTGTGAATTGTTCTGTGCCACACGCTTCTGGGGCAAGGCAGGAGGACTGGCTCCCTATACCTATGGATCTCCCAAGGTAACTCAAGATCCAGGTAGAGCTCAGAATTCCCTGTGTCATCCCTCCTAGGAAATCACCCTTCAGCCTCATGCATGCGTGTTTTTGTTTCACAGCATGGTAAGAGATAATGCTGATAAGGTGAGCAGCACTATCTTGTACAGAATTCCCATAGGTGATGCTCTGAGTACATGCAGAGGGGTTTCTGCAGGAGCAACAGTGAGCTTGTTGCCTTTTCTTCCTTTTATGCCCCATAGTGCATTCAGCGAGGTTTTGCAAACCCGTTTATGGAACCAGAGGGGTATATGATTATATAACACCATTTTTCATTTTACATAGTATCCATCCTCCTCGAAGATTCCAATGCACCTCCTAGACTGTTGGCTTTGGTGGGAGTTATGTACAAATACCTGGGGACATAATTTTACCCTGTATATAAAAGGGTTACTCATCCATCACTTAAATGCTGCCAATGATGGGGACTGAAAGTCAGCTCCTGTAACACTGCACAGCTTCTTGGAAAGGAAATGAAGAACAATTTCTGCACCTTAAACTTCAGGGGGAATATAGAATGGCAAAATATAATTACACAAGCTGGGCCTGGGTCAGTATACAACTAGCAAAAATAAAATGTGTGGGATCTTTTTAGGATTGCCTCCTATTGACATTTGTGGAAGCTGGAGAGAGAGCTGAGCACTTACCAGGACTGAGCCCTTAATTATTATGGATGGCCACTAGTGCGATTTGTTCTGTGCTGACTCAGCAAAAAACATGCTATCCACTGAACCACTAACAATACTTCCTGCACTTTTCCATGTAAGTCTCCTGACCAGGCCCAATTCTGCTTCCGTAATGTAATCAGATTACTGCTGAAGATGATACAGAACTCATTGCTCAGTCTTGTACCAGGCAAAATTAATTTCTTCTTTGGTAAGAGACAAAGACATAATGAAAGATAGTTTTTAATATTTGTAAATTGTTTAGAGACACCTAGTTTTATAGAAAGAAAAGGAGTACTAGTGGCACCTTAGAGACTAACCAATTTATTTGAGCATAAGCTTTCGTGAGCTGCATCCGATGAAGTGAGCTGTAGCTCACGAAAGCTCATGCTCAAATAAATTGGTTAGTCTCTAAGGTGTCACAAGTCCTCTTTTTTTTTTTTTTTGCGAATACAGACTAACGCGGCTGCTACTCTGAAACTAGTTTTATAGGGAATTTTGTATAGTATTCCTTCATGGCTGCTATTATGAATGTAACTTTTCCCCCTCAAAAATTCTGTCGCAGTTTCCCCTTTTTATCTTTGTAAATGCTAAAGAAACTCAACTGATATTTCTGCAAAGATGCTCATTTTTATATATATATTTACATATGCTATTGTTTAGATCAAAATCCTGCTAGTACGTTTGGTAATAAGTTTCCATTTTAAAGTTTGTTTTCTTTAACATAAGAAGTTTGGCTAATTTGACTACACACATGGACTCCTGATTAAAAAGACTGAGTTTCTTAATGAATCACTTTTCAATATTTTTTAAAATACTGCACCTTTCATAATTGTCTTTACTCCTTACAATTTTCAATTGTTTAGAATAAATCACAAGTACTAGAATAAATTAAGTTGACTAAATGATTTCCCTCCCCTAAAATGCTTCATGGCTGACTAATATGAAATCATGTATTAGTTGCAAATAACAGTTAATTGTGTAGGTTTCACATTTATCCAGGATGAATACAAATAGGCTTTTTAAAAGAAGGGTACTGATTCAAAATATTTGTCCTGCCCCAACTAGAATTTCTGAGTCTTTAACTGACTGCTGTGGCCTTTCTAGGCCAGAGTTATAAGTTGTGGTCAGAGCCCAGGAAGTTTTAGGGGCCTGATCATCACAGTTGTTGAGTCTAATTGAGTCAATAGGCCCTTCAGGGGTTCAGCACCTAAAAATAAGTCCTTTAAGGACAATACTATATATACCAGTCAGTGGGGGACAGCAGTATTGAGACTAGAACCAGTTTTTGCAATTCTGTATTCCCTTGCCAGTGAACTAAAGGAGCTGCTCTGTTAAACTGGAAGAGGCTGGAGCCAGGAACCAAACAATTAAATGCTGCATTCTGAAATCTGATTAGAGGAGTGTATATGTATTTGAATTATGTCAATTACAAGACATGCTGCCAAACGAACGCCAGACGGCTCAGTGTGAACCACTACCCCGAGTTTAGCGTCAAACGATCTGTTTTGAAGCAACACAGAGATCACCCATCTAGACAGAGCCAAATTCTGTCCTCAGTTCAAGTCACTAGGGTTGGTTGCACACGCTTGCAGATGAGGGCAGTATCTCATCCCCACGAGTGGTGCACAGTTACAGACTCTACCATATCGATGTAGTGTGGAAAGGCCACCAGCTCACACATGGGATGCAGGATTTAATTTTAAAACGCTCTCCCTGTTTTCTAATCTACGTCCAGCTCCCAGTCGCATCGGAGTGTAAACTCCTCGCAGAGCCAACTCGTCCTTCCTTTCGGACTCCCTGCAGGCTGACTTTGCACCAGGAACAAATGGAGACCTGTGCTTGAGTAGTAGATATACACTGCGCTCCCGAAATCGCGCCCTCCTCCCAGCCCAATGCGTATTTACATGAACGTGAGCAAAAAATTAGCCAATACCTATCCACACGTGCCAGGCCAGCGATTATGGGGAGGGGGCTGTTTCCGGAACTCGGTTAAGCCTCCTACGAAACAGAATGGTACGCTGGGTGACGGGGGCTGGGGACAGATCCCCTAAACTTCCGGTTCTGCAAGTTCTGATGATGAGGATACTGACCAAGCTGGAAGAAATGACTTACAGCGCTTTGGAGCCCAGCAGGGCCCGCTGTGTCTGCCTCCAGCTCCCCACCGGGGCCTCCGCCGCAGCCTCCAGTTCCCATCCCATGAGCAGCGGCAGGTCCTAGGCACCTCAGCGAGAGGCAGCAGCCCCCCACTGACACTTGCATTGGTGGGGCCATTTTGGGCACACGATGCCGCGCTGAGTGAAATCAGATGTAAGGACAGCAGAGGGGTCTGGTGATCCCTTAGCCATGGCTACCAAGAACAACAGAAGCCCTCCAATTCTTGCCGTGTGTGTGTGTGTGGGGATTCCATAGTCACTTTCTGCACTCTTTTTGCTTGTTATTCCAAATACCCATCAAACACATCCAGCTCACTGTCCGTGTCATAGAGCACCGAGCCAGGGTCTGAGAGCACCCCCAAATCCACCAGAGCCTGGTCCATGTCTTCAGGCAGGAACACGATCCCTACATTGAGGACGATATACTCCATCAGGAAGGCATAGTAGAGAATCAGCACATTGACAAAGAACAAGCCCACGTAAAACATATAGGGCAGCACCAGCAGCGCATGGAAGGCCCAAGACTCCAGCGAATCCAGATGTGCAGAAACTGCGGCGGGCATACAGCTGTGCTGAGTAGAACTGCCTCGGCTCTCCAGAGGCCGGGGCTGGCTGCTGGTGTGCAGAGGTGCAGAAACAGCTGGCGCGGGCGCCCAGCTGTGCAGAACCAGCAAGCAGAGGGTGGTCGCTCAGATTAGCGGAAAACACTGCGTCGCGGCGGGCGCCCAGCTGTGCAGGGGGCCAATACACAACGCAGCTTCAAACAGAGGGTAAAATAAGAAACACGGAATGAGTGCTAATAACCCCAGACCGAGAGAGGAGAGGGGGGGGTCCTTCCACGGCCCGCAAAGGGGAGCAGGAACGGCAAATCCCCGAAGAGATCCGCTTGATCCACTCCCCCCTAATTCCCGTGCAAGAATGTGGCCAGATTTGGCTTCAGAAGCACTGCCGCAGCCCAGCCTTTGGAGGAAGCTTCTTCAGAGGCATTTCCCCGCGGCTGCTGCAGTCCTGCCGCTTGCTCTCTCGTCCTCCCGGCTGCAAACTTTGGGGGAATAAAGGTGCAGGCTCGCTCTTGTTGTTGTTAGGACTTGCCTGTAGTCAGCGATCCCACCCGCCGCCAGCCTCCGCAGCAGGAACCCCCCTCCCCGTCCCTTACCCCTCCTCCTCCTCCTTCCCCCCCACCTCCTGTCTCCGCTGCATGCTGCTGCGTCTCAGCTGTTTGTGCACTGTGGGTCCCCCAGCTTCACTTTCAGCACTGCTGCCTCCAGCGCAGACCGCCCACCCAAGTCAGCCTCCCCGTCTTGCTGATTGGCTTGAATGAGGCACTGACTGACAGCAGGGGCTTGGTTTGTTGACAGTCAAATCCCGTTTCACCTGGGGGGTGAGTACTGATTGCGGGCTCGCTGGCTTTCTGACCCGGTGGCGGCTTCAGCAGTAAAGGCTCAGCAAGTTGCAACAATATTTATTTGTTTAGATGTTGCTTCCCTGTTTGGAATAACCACACGATTTCCTTTCTAGCAACTTTACTATAACGTTGTCCTTAAGAACATATATATACACAGTTGGTTCTTGAGGCCATTCTGTGCTCCTAGTTATCACAAGCACTTCTTCTCTAGTACTAGCCAACAGGATGAGATGGGGCTTGGGGAGAAAGAGAGCGATTAGAAATTGTTAGGAGCTTTTATATTATATTGCTGATTTACAGTGAGTTATTCCAATTCCTTTTACTTTATCTGATCACCTCTTGGCATCGGAATCTGAGAGTTTTTTAAATGCTATGTGATTATCAGAACTGTTGGTTCCCCTGATGTCAAATGCCTTAATAATAAAATACTGTGGTGCACTTTTATAGCACATTTCACTGTGAGGTAGGTAAAGAATATTTAGGAATTAAATACCCATGACTAAAACAGCCACTCTGGGAAGGAATTTGGCTTCTGTTTAACAGTGCACAACAATGCACAACAGCTAAGGGCTGAAACAATTGGGTAAGTAAAATGTAATTACTTGAGTTGGAATTTGGCCAGTAAACCAGGGCCCATACTCTTGCGAAAAGTGCTATGGTATCTTATTACCAGTAATGGTCAATAATTCTATTTTAACATTATGTCTGACAATGGCACCTATAGCAGTAGAGGTCCCTTAACATTATGCTGGGCATTTATATAATACTGACCGAGTCCTTGTCTATATTCAAAACATAATTAAGGATGTGATTTTAAACTGATTTAGTGAAACCGATGCCAACCCCTATGGGGAAACTCTTAGCTTAATTTAAACCTGGTTATTTTGATTTATCTCAGTTCAGTTCCTTATTGAGTTAAGCTACATCAATATGAAACAGGTTTAAACTGAATTAAGAGTGTCCACTCTGTTTTTTGATAGTATTCTCAGAAAAGAGCAAGCTGGTTTTTGGAAGGGCGTGGATACACAGACCAGATCTTCACTCTACGAAACATAATAGAACAGTGCTTAGAATGGCAACGGTAACTCTACATACATTTCATAGACTTTGAGAAGGCTTTTGATAGCATTCACAGGACCAGCCTATGGCGCATTCTGCGGGTATATGGAATTTCTTTCCGTTTAATCAATGTCATCAAAAGCTTCTATTTCAACTTTACATGCAGTGTTGATTACAGTGAGCTCAGTTTTGAAGTCAAAACAGGAGTATGTCAGGGGTATGTCATGTCTGCAATCCTCTTCAACATTGTCATTGACTGGGTAGTGAGGCATACAACAGAAGACATGCCAAGAGGCATTAAATGAATATTATTCTCATCCTTTGAAGACCTGGACTTTGCAGATGATGTCGCTCTCCTATCACATACCCAACACCATATACAAGAAAAAACAACTCAACCCAATGCATTCAGCCAGCAAATTGGACTGAAAATCAACCGCAATAAGACAGATATCATGACCCTTAATATTGTCTCACCATCACCAGTATGGATAGAGGACTATGTTCTCACCAATGCAGAAACATTCACAAACTTGGGCAGCACCATCAGCCAGGATGGTGGAACAAGCTAGGACATCTGGAACAAAATCAATAAAGTCAGGAACACCTTCAGGCACTTCAATACAGTCTGGAAATCGTCAAAATACAACACCAAAACAAAACTGAAGATTTATCAGATCTGCGTTCTTGCAGCACTACTTTATAGTGCAGAATGCTGGGGAATGAGAAAGTATGACATGACCAAACTGTCTTCATTCCATACAACCTGCCTCAGAAAAATCCTCTGTATCTTTTGGCCCAGAACAATCTCAAACCAAGATCTATAAGCACCATCATTGCCAGGAGGCGTTGGAGATGGATCGGTCTTGTAATTCGGATGGAAACTGATTTCATCACCAGAGTATCAATAAGATGGACACCTGAAGACAAGCGAAAATGAGGCCGACACTGCTTCATTTGAAAGGCTAACACACTGAGGTGTAATGGCAACAGGCCAAACTGTCAGATCAGATCTTGGTACATAAGGAAGTTGCACGAATTAAAGATTACAATGTTGTTCCTTAGGAAGAACTTTCTGTTAAAAATTTTTTGTTTTCTAATAAATCAAAATAAATGGCAAGGGCAAATATGCCTGACCAACCTGACTGCCTTCTATGATGAGATAACTGGCTCTGTGGATATGGGGAAAGCAGTGGATGTGATATATCTTGACTTTAGCAAAGCTTTTGATACAGTCTCCCACAGTATTCTTGCCAACAAGTTAAAAAAGTATGGATTGGATTAATGGACTATAAGGTGGACAGAAAACTGCTACAGGCTGGGGACCAACTGGCTAAACAGCAGTTCCGCAGAAAAGAACCTGGGGATTACAGTGGATGAGAAGCCGGATATGAGACAGCAGTGTGCCCTTGTTGCCAAGAAGGCTAACGGCATATTGGGCTGCATTAGTAGGAGCATTGTCAGCAGATGGAGGGAGGTGATTATTCCCCTCTATTCAACACTGGTGAGGCCACATCTGGAGTATTGCATCCAGTTTTGGGCCCCCCACTACAGAAAGAATATGGAGAAATTGGAGGGAGTCCAGCAGAGGGCAACGAAAATGCTAGGGCACATGACTTAAGAGGAGAGGCTGCGGGAATTGGGTTTATTTAGTCTGCAGAAGAGTGAGGGGGGATTTGATAGCAGCCTTCACCTATCTGAAGGGGGGTTCAAAGGAGGATGGAGCTAGGCTGTTCTCAGTGATGGCAGTTGACAGAACAAGGAGCAATGGTCTCAAGTTGCAGTGGGGGAGGTTTAGGTTGGATATTAGGAAAAACTATTTCACTAGGAGGGTGATGAAGCACTGGAATGGGTTACCTAGAGAAGTGGTGGAATCTCCATCCTTAGAGATTTTTAAGGTCTGGCTTGACAAAGTCCTGGCTGGGATGATTTAGTTGGGGTTGGTCCTGCTTTGAGCAGGGGGTTGGACTAGATGACCTCCTGGGGTCTCTTCCAACCTAATCTTCTATGATTCTATGAAATCTTTTTTACAGATTTTTCCCATTGAATGGAATGTCTGTGGATGGTTTAGCTAGATATAAGCCCAGGCAACAAACAGCTACTAAAATGAGGGAGGGGAAATGAGAATGAAAGAGACATTCAAAACATCATTTGCTCTCCAGGATCTTGCTAGGCGTTGGATGTATTCCAAATCTTCAGTTTATTTTGACCCTAAAACTAGAGGGCATTAAAGTGAACAATAGCAAGTCAGACATGGGTTCTGATCATTTAGGCTCCTATTCTGCAAGCACTTAAGTATGTGTTTAACTTTATGCACATTTAATCCCATTGAAACACGTGTGTGTATAGTAAAGCTTGTGTGCATTTGCAGGACCAGAGCCTTTGTTTTCCTTTACAAGAAGAGAATGCCAAAATAGAACACTTAGAAGAAGCTAGGCTTATATGGAGAATTATACCTTTTCTTTGAAAACTGGAAACGTAGACAGGAAAGAACAGGGGAAATACTTGATTTCATAAAGGGATATTTCTGATGAATTCTGGAGAGAATTGTTTTCATTTTATAGAATTACTACTTGTGTCACATCCACCACAAAGTAAACATAAGAAACTAAGACATCATACGTACTCAGTTAGCTGGTCCCTTTCTCATTTTTCCATTTGGAATATGATGGGAGGACACAGTTCAAAGGTATGGAGAGGCAGTGTGGCCTACTGAATAGTGCATTAGACTGGGATTCAAGAGTCCTGGATTATATTCCTGGCTCTGCTACTAGCCTGCTAAGGGTCCTTGGACAGTCACTTCACCTCGCTGTGCCTTATTCTCCCCATCTGTAAAATAAGAATAATGATAGTAACCTCCTTTGTAAAGTGCTTTGAGATCACTGATGTTAAGTCATATTTAACTGACAGGTTTTGTTTCTCATACAGAAACAGGGGTTAGATTGTTTATATTGAGGGTTGTGGATTTAGACTCTGCTGAGGCCTTTTGGATTTTCTTTTATCATGGTGTGCACTCTCTGGCAAAGCAGTGGATGAAGCAGTATTGCTTTCTCCCCATAGCTTGGGACAAAGCCAGCCCTCTTTCCCAAACCTGTGGCCCCCTACAGACGGTGTCTCCCAAAACGTGAGCCCTCCCACCATTTCTGCTAACCCATGCTCGAGGGGCCTCACCTCACCAAACCCACTCTACACCTCATCTCTCTCCCTGCACCCTTCACTCCCTCCAGTGGTGCAAGCAGAAATCATTCCTTGCCAGTACTGCACTCATGGAAGGGACAAAAGGGGTCGGGAGGGGGGGGGCATGTGATCTTCTCATGTGACCCTCCATGTGACTCTTCCCCACCCCAGCCGCTCCTACAACTCTCTTTGTATATACAAACATCAACATGCTTGACTACTCACTTTCCCCCCAAATATGTAGTATTCAGTCTATTTATATGGGATATGGAAGTTGGGTGAGGAGCCATTTCAACATATGTATAACTTATTAAAAGACAAATTTTAAGAACTGTATCCTAAACTGCTTTATGGTATTGTACCCAAACATTTATGGTTAATAAAATGGTTAGTCTCTAAGGTGCCACAAGTACTCCTTTTCTTTTTACCCAAACATTGCATTTCAATGGGAGATTCAACTTCCTTTATAGGAACAGATTCTTGAAACTCTTACCAGCCCACAAAAGTGGTCCAGTCATGCAAATAGTCCCATTGTCTTCAATGGGATTGATCAAATGTTTACAGGATTAGATTTCAAGTTTGTAAATTGTTCTGGATGAAACTGACAATGCCTGAGCTGTCAGATCAGAAGGATCTTCATTCGAATAAAGGTGGGCAGGTGTGTGATAAGTTTTAGCTCCATTGCTAATATGAGGGACATATTTTCAGCCAAGTTCTTGGCAGATTCCTGAGGCAGCTGGTTTAAGGCTGTCCATGTCCGGCATTATAATCTTACAGTTTATAAACTTACAGTTCTCTCACCCACAAAGGTGGGAAATGAGGCATTTGTTTTCTTTGTTTTGCTGCTCCAGTTCCAGTTAACAAAATGCATGTTAGACTAATTTGGCTGCAAAATAAATAAATAAATAAATAAATTCTATGTACACTGGGGACAACACCTGGTTCCTATAAGGCAGCAGAACTGAGCTAACATCAGAATCCAAACATCCTCTGGTCAGTGCAAGCAGAGGCATTCCTCCAATGATTTGGACTTGATGTGATGCAGTATGGATGTCATGGATAATTCAGACCAATGGCGAGAAACAGAATCAAAAACACCTTCCCCTCTTGAGGACTCCTGACCAATGTAACTACACAATATATATGCTAACAAACCTTTGTCTAAGTTTGTTAGCACCTGTATTGTGCTGTTAAAGCCATTTAAAGAATGAATGCCCTCCCTAACCGCGTTCTGCTCCTTTAAGGAGTAGAGCGCAGCCCCAAGTCTTTCCGGTACCCCGCAACGGCTAAAAATCTCTTGCCGGTTCTGTGTACTGGAGGGTACCACCCTGCTTGCGCCCAGACTCCCTCCCAAACCTGACCCTCTCACACCCCTGCTGAGCTCCCACCCACCTGGGTCACAACTAGCGGCAGAAGGCGTGCACGGTGCAGGCTGGGAGTTGTAGTCCACCGTCTCCTGGCCGTCGCAGGGAAGGGGGCAGGGAGACTGCATTTCCCAGCGCGCCACGCGCGCGCATGCGCCTTTGCTCTTCCTGTCGCTGACTGGTGGGGCGGGCGGCCGGCCGGCCAGCCGGGGTTGTAAGTGTCAGGGATCGCTGGGCTGCCCCACAGCCGTGCGCTGCGGGCGATGGACGGCTAGAGCCCGCGGCCCTCAGCCTCCTCTTCGCCGCCAACATGTTCGGCCGCTCCCGCAGCTGGGTGGGTGGCGGGCACGGTAAGGCCGCCCGCAGCATCCACTCCTTGGACCATCTGAAGTAAGTGCGTGTGTCGGGGGCGGAGTGAGTGAGTGAGTGTGTGTGTGTGTGGGGGCCCCCCCGGGGGGGGGGGCTGAGGCGGAGCGTGTGTGCAGGGGGCTAAGGTGGGGGCGGAGGGGCCAAGGAGATAACTCAGGGAGGGGGGCGGGTCGGAGACCCTGTGGGACCAACGTGGGGCTCAGGTCCATGGCGTTTGGGGTGCTTGTGGTGTGGTTGGGGGAGCTCGGGTTGAAGGGTTGGGGGAGCTCGTGTTGCTCTGTCTCAGCGAGAGTGAGCTCACAGCTTCACTGAGGCAGAAGGGACCCCTGTGGCTCTATGGCAAGCGGGTCTCTGGAGCTGGGACCTCTCTGGTGGGATTGGGGTGTGTGGACTGGGAGATTGAAGAGGCTTGGAGGAGTCTGCAATGGAGGGCTCCAGACTCAGGGGCTGACAAGGCCTTCAGGGGTTTGAGTGAGTCTTGTGGCTGTGGAAGAGTAATGACTTCTGAAGGAGTTTCACTCGGGGCTGCCATTGTAAACATGTACGAATGATATTTCCTCATCGTCTTACATCTCTCTGTGAATATTCATGTAACTATATTGCTTACAGTCCTCTTGAGTTCTCACAACTACTGATTAGGTCATATACACTTCTCCTCCCCCCAGCAACCTCCCTCTCCCCCGCCAGTCCTGATTTTGCCTTACAGGTGATTGGATGTTCCTAAGTATCTACAGGGTGGTGATGTAGTGGCACAGCATGAAAAGAGAAAGCTATGATTTTATAATGCAATAAACTTGTTCTGTAGAACAAAGTCTAAAAGGTGGTAACCTTAGATGAGTACCAGCATGGTAGAGATGGGGAGATATAGTTAACTGGGGCATCGAAGTGGTGAGAGAGTGGTCCGTCTTTCAGCACGGCCCAGGGGCCAGTGCCTTGGTTAGAGGCCTTAATCCCCATTACCAGGTGCTGATAGAGAGAGAGAAGGTACTGGGAATCTTGAATGGGAGCTCTTTTTTTTAGGTAGGGGGTGTCTAATGAATATGAAGTCCCTGCACTGTAACTGGCTGCTGGAAAGGGGAAATAGTTTTCTTCTTGCACGATGACTCTAGATCCTGCGGGAAGTAAAAATGTGTGTGAAGGATGTTCTTTACTCCTTCTCCAGACTCCTGGCTGCTGTAAGAAAACCAATGAGGTAAAGGTTCTTCTCTCTCTTGAATAATTCAGGTTCTGGACTCTACCATAGCTCAAAATTTTCCCCAGCCAGGAGGGAATGAAATTGACCCATTCCTGTTGCTCCCACCAGGTTCTGAAAAAAAGCTTTGAAATTGAATAGCCTTGCTAATTTCACAGTCTGGTTGTTTGGGAAAGCTACAGAAGCAGTAACTGAGTTGTTCTTGGTAGGCTGAGACAAAACACTGTTTCAGTTTACTTCTGAAAAGTTTTTATTGCAACAGAACAGCCTAGAAATTTTTTTTAAATGAAAGCTTACATGTTGCTGTAATAGTTGCTCGTAGTGTTTGTTGTAGCTGTATTGGTCCCAGAATATTTGAAGGACAAGGGGATGAGGTAATATCTTTTATTGGAGTAACTTATATTGGTGAAAGAGACAAGCTTTCTAGCTACACAGAGCTTTTCCTCAAAGACACTGGATGTATGGTTTATTACAACAGTGTGTAACCTACAAAACACCCCTGCCCCCTTGCCCTACCACTGCAGGGGTGTTAATGTGCCACTTCACTTTGAATGGCTAGTCTACACTTGAAATGCTACTGCAACATAGCTGCATCACTGTAGCACTTGAATGTAGACACTACTTACGCTGCGGGGAGGGGTTCTCCCTTTGGCATTAGGTAGTCCACCTCCGCGACAGGCAGTAGCTAGGACAATGGCAGAATTCTTCTGTCAATCTAGTGCTGTCTAAATCGGGTTTAGGTAGGTTTAACTATGCTGATCAGGGGTGTGGATTTTTCACACCTTGACCAACATAGTTAAACCAACCTCATTTTCTAGTGTTGACCAAGCCTTAGAATATGTTTACTTATGCTGAACAATCTGTTCCACCTTGTATTTTAGATGTGGTGCTCTGAGTACGTTTCCCAGACCTGAGGAAGAGCTCCGTGTAAGCTCGAAAGCTTGTCTCTTTTACCAACAGAAGTTGATCCATAAACCTTACCTACCTTGTTGCTGTAATTGATGGCTTTTATCTCCTTATTTGCCAGGAGAAGCTTTCTACGTGTCAGTGATGAATATTACTTAGTCTTGAAAAATTACATTCACCTATTCATTACATATTCTAATAAGAAAAATGACAAATTCCCCTGGCCTACCTCTTTCCATCTCAGTATTTTCTCTGAGTGTAGGTATCATTTTAGCAAGCATTATCATGAAAATTAAAGTTGTTACTTCATTATTCTGATGCCTTCCTCTCTTTATACATGATATTTTAGATGGATAAACCTTGCAGGGATCAGAAATTAAGGTTTCCAGCAGCTCATCCATGGCATTGAAACGACCATGCACTGGATACTGGAATTACCTGTTGTTCTGAAAGTACTATGGTATCTTTTTACATTAGCTTCCCCCAATAACATCTCTGAAGATGATGAAAGTATACTTATGACACACTCCCACCTGTTTACAAGACAAATAGGGAGGCCATCATCTTTGTGACAGAATGTTTGCTTTGTGATTTTGATTATACTCGGATACCACAATGATGGTTGTATTAAACAGTACAGTACCATGATAGTTCATCTAAAACATACATTTCAATTTATCTGAATAGAAGACTCCTGAAATACTTCAGGAAATTATAATTTGATCGGTCATATCAGGAACAAAAAGTGAGTGTCATGTATGAACTATCCATTCATTCTTGTAAAATGTCCTAAATTATAATTGATGAGCTGCTAGTTAACCACAACATCTTGAGCTAGTGGTATTTGACAAACTGATCACATTTACTGTTTTTGGCAATCATACCATACACTGAGAACAAGGACTCAGTTCTTGGTGTACTGTATTAGAGCCTGATTCTGATAATCTTTACTCATGTGAATAGTCTTTGCCCCATAGTAAGTCTCATTGAAGTCAAAGGTATTTCTCTTATGAATAAGGATTTGCAAATCCTTAATTGGTAATCATAGTTAGTGTCATTGGTGGTGGTATATATTCTGTGCATCTTCCTATTTTTAAACTGGAATAAACAGGCACTAAGTAAGTAATTGCTGCATGTATGTTATCAACACCACTAATCCATAGCACAGTTTGACATCAGCCTCTCTGTAGGCATGAAACGGATGTTGCATGTCAGGACTGAAGAGCACTGGTGTTATACCAATAAAATAAAAACCAGCAGGATCTTATTAAAGGGGAAAAGGCAAAATGCCACATTTATTGTGAATACAGAAAGAATTGTAGTAAGCAGTTAATTATAGCTATAACATTCCATTCAATCTCCTATTTATTCACACATTCATTCATACATACACACACACACACACACAGGTTCTGCAAGGTTGTTATCATAGTTACCAGCCTTAGAGTTGCTCATGCCAAGCCACTGGCCAGGTGGCCTGGACATGAGGAGGGAGCAGGGCCTTATCAGATGCTCATCTGATGCTCCTGGAAGTTGGTTTGCAGAATCAGACCCCAAAGTTCTCACTTTCTAGAGTCCATTTTTATAGGAATTTCTTCCTATGCCATCTATGGGAATTGCTTCATCATGCTGTTGCTGAATCAGTCAGCAGATGGCACATTCCTGACGGCTCTGTGCTGCCAGATGTTATCTTGTTCTTTGTTTCTCCCATTCTTGAGGCTGGTGGGTGGATTCCAGTCTGCCCTCCGGGGGTCCTCTGGTTATTTCCACTTGACGCCTTCTTCAGCCGATGGACACTGGATTCTTAAGCTGGCACCTCCCTGATCATTCAGTTATTAGCCACACCAAGCGTCCATCCACATACATCCTCTATCTCTATTTTAATCACAATTGTTAATACAACAAAAGGGTGGGGAGTCTCTGGGTGCTGTTTCTGTTACAGAGTATTGCTTTGAGTCTCTCTCTGTGTGAATTGCTTTGAGAACAGACTCTGTCTTAGAATGTACTAACGCAATTAGCAGTTTGCAAGTTTCACACATAGAGGGAGAGAAACAGTACCAAAAACCAAGAGACCTCTTAATTAGTAATACCCTGGAATTTAAACTATGGGGAATCAAACTCATTTGTGATTTTTATACAGAACTTCTTTAATATGATCCAACATTGGTAGAGTTGTGTGGCAAAATGTTACCTTACATCTCGTTGTGCTGTAGTATACTTGGCTCTGGGCAGTACTCATAAGGTTGCACTGTATTTTCATGAGCATGACTCATGCATAGTTTTAAAAAGTCCCTAATTTCTTGACTGCCAAGGTGGTTTGCAACCTTGGTAGGTTCAAAGCCACAAACAGGCTTTATTTCACCTTTTTCATGTTGATATATTGGGAGATGCATCATATGCAAACAATTGTACATAACTATTTGTGACCACTACATTTTAGAACGTAAAAGAAATCTTTTAAAAAAGTTACTTACTGACTGCAGTTCTTGTGTGGCCTAAAGCAGGGGAGTGGGAGCTGGGACTTGCAGGCTGTGCAACTGATTGAGAGGTAGGTGACTCATCTGTGTGTCAGTTTACTACGCTGTAAAATAGGTTCCCTGATCAACAACAATGTTCAGAAGCTTAATTATTGTAAATTGCTTTGAGATCATGTAATGAAAGGTGTCTCTAAATGTAGATTATTTTGCTTGTCCCATTTGAGTTGGAGGAGAACGCAGACATGATTAACAGTCTGTTCATAGTTATGCTAAGTCATTCTGTAGTAAGCTTCATGTTTGGATTAGGTTGTAACTTAAACTTGAAAGCAACATCAGGCAGTGAAATCTAGAACTTTGAAAATAAACTTTTTCCCCCCTTGGGGAAAGGGTAGGATGGGCTATTGGGTTTTGTTTAATTTACAGGTTGATTGTGAACATGTGAATAT